CGGAGGATAGCTCAGTGTAGAACTGATCACCCGTGCCATCTTGATAACACATGGTCGGACCGTGCGTGCGTATAAAAGTGGCAAACTTACCTCTTCCGAGTCCTAGGCTAACAGTGATCAGTTGCGGGCTGATGCCTGTTGGTTCAGTCACGAACTGGCCATGAATGCGATCGGATATTATAAATCCGACCCCATGATCACGTGGTGCTGAGGCGGCGTTGCCCACCCAGTAGAATGTGTAGCCAGCACCAGCTTCATGCAACTTACCTTGCTCAGCGAGCCGAGTTTCACTGAGCGCCGCAATATCGATGTGGTAGCGGGCCAGTTTCATCGCGACCAGTGCAGTGCGTCACTCGGGTCGCTCGCTCTAGTTCCGGTCCAGTAGTGTGCGCACGTTCCAGCACCCGATGCTGAGTGCTTTGCGCGCAGGCATACGATTGCATTGGTGGGCAATCGTACGCGAGGTGGTCGTTGTGCTTCAGAGGTTAGCTTGTGGGACTCCACCCGGAGCCTTTGATTCAATAGCCTGACCCACAAGACAGTGTGGAGCAGATCCAGCTCGGGAATGCGATGGCAGAGACAGATTGGGATCTGCTTCGCAGCTGTCATGCGCATCCTTTTAGGTTCTGGAACGATTGAAATATGTTTTGTGGCCGTAGTAGGATACACCTGCGACCACGGCCAGATGCAGGTCGGTTTTGGTGAGTTTGCACCAGGGGCTGGCTGGCTTGAGGCGGGCAGTAGCAAACCATTGAAAAACCGGAGGCGCTCTCCCACCGTCAGTGACAATTCGTGGAGCTCGTGCTATACGGCAATCGAGCTGTGAGCTTATAACCCGTAAACCTGTTGTCTCCCATGGCTAGGTTATATGGGAAGAGGACCACCGATCACTTCGTAACCTCCGAAGAGGATGGACTACGATACTGGCAGGGCGCCCACACCTGACAAGAGAACGACTCGGGTCCTCAGCCAGAGCCTTCGATTAAATGTACACTCGAAATGCAGCGGGTCTAGCACATGGTCAGTTCACTGACTCATGTGGATTTATGTCCTGGACCTTAGCAGGGAGTAGGGTGTAACCCAACTCCCACCTAGCGGTCGCCACGAGATGGCGTCCAGGCGATGAGCCAATGGCAGAACAGTAGCAGCAGTGGGTAGACCATCTGTCAGGATCTAGCCACCTCCGCCTCAACACACCATAGGCTCTCCCGCCGTGCATATATATATATATATATATATATATGTTTATAGAAGGCATTGGTTGCTTTTGCTAATCTCCTCATCCCAGGTGTCGAGGTGATCTGAGTTTAGCTCTGAGGGGTCGAGTTTACAATGTCATAGTGAGGGCGGTTCCGCTGTATGGCTGCGAAACTTGGACTGTTCGTGCAAACGATGTTGTGACGCTTTCGGTGGTTATCCCAGTGACCGTATTGGCAGAGGCTGACTTCAAAATTCAACCGATGCCACGACTGAGAGTTCATGTCGCAACTCAAGACACGACGGGTGCTCCAAAATCTAAAAATATCGAGAGGCTGTCTGTTTTTGAGCACCGCTGCCTTCGGAGCATTTGGGATGTACGGTGGCAATAGCCCATTAGTAAAGATGATGTTCCACGGAGGCTTTTTAGATCAGACAGAATTCGCTGGCCACTAAGCAGTGTAATTTCTCTGTGCAGACTTCAGCGGCTTGGGTATGTTTTTCGTATGTTCACTCATCGCTTATCTCGCCGTGCACTCTTCACGCACACAAGTCGGCTGGAAGCGAAAGCAAGGTGGCCAACGTATGACTTGGGCCAGAAGCATGAAGGAGCTAAGGTCAAAGTTAGCCGTGGTCGGGCGCTGTCGGCTCTCCGGTTGGAGTGCGAAGGATCCGGAACACGCATGGCTGGAAACATGCGCGGATATGGCAAGCAACCGTGCGCAGTGGCAGGCTTGTTGTGACTGTTTATTTCCATCTATTTCCCTTCTTCCTTTGTTTGTTTATTTTAGTTTCCCTAGGTTGTGGCATTATGCCAATTGTACTTTTGGCGGTGTTATATATATATATATATATATATATATATATATATATATTGCAACCTCTGTGGATTAGAGGAAGAGGCACGCTACTAATGAAACTATCTTATAAGTCGGTCATCAGCGTCTTTAACTGATGTGAACAGTATAAATGTGCCAGCCGCGCTTTGGAACAAGCTGATGTGATCAATCGGGTGCCTGATTTAATGATATCATAAGTTCTCCCGGTTACAACGTTTCTCTCTGACTCTTACTATGACCCTACCTTGTTTACCAAACACAACCAAGCTTCGCACCATATGTTAGCTCTAAAACAACGATTTGGAAAGCACGGAAAGAAGACGAAATCTGGTAGATGCATGGCGTTCATATTGTCTGCTCAGTACTATAACCCGTAACCGATGCGCATATATATACCCAGCAATGACTGCGACCAGACAAGTTTGGAGCGCAGAGTGATTGAGAGAAATTCGCCCCTACGTCCAGCATGGTCTTGGATTGGGAAGCAATTATTTCTGCACGCACATGGCTGATTTCATCTGGTTTAAAATGACATCCTCAGCAAACCAAAAGAAGCGTAAATTTGTGTGATGTAACACAACTTCGAACGCTGAGTCCAGCTCTGTCGTGATGGTCTCTTCGTGCTTACTGGATATTTTCTGCTCCGCTTTGGCACAACCATTTTTCGTTCCAAAAGAAACTGGAAATAAGATGTCCGCGTAAAAGTCATCGCCATCATCATACACGCTAATAGAAGACAATAAGTGTGTTTCAGCTGTTGTGCCGCGAAATACTACAGCTACATATTCGCGAAAGAAAAATGTGATAACGGCAAGTAACGGGACAGAAGTAATAATATTATGCTTTGTTATTTACTATGCCCAATTAGTTAGGTCGTGCTTGAAGAGAGGGCGAGCGGAAGAGGAGGGTGCGGATAAAGAAACTCTCAACACAACACTATTGAATTACGCCCTTCGCATATTAGCAAGTGCTTCCAACCAAATATGCTCATCATCTTTGCGACCCAAACCCAGGAGTCGGTAGGCACCAAGCGAGGCCAATTTCGAAGTGAGCATCTTTATTTCTCTTGACCAGCTCGTCGGTTAGCCCACGCTCCTTATCTTCCACCCAGACTCCGGTCACGCAAACAACGCACGACACCGGAGTCAGTGTGTTGGCATGCGTAACATACGACCTAGCCATCGCGGCTTGGTGCGTAAAATGGCATCACTGAGGGTTCACTTGATCTTCTCACCCCATAAACTAGGCGCTTAGCACTCTCATTGCTCAAGCGGTGTTCCCACCAGAACCCGTGATCGGATGCAACTAGACTATTTATGTCTGCCGATCTGATAGGCCAAACAGGTTTCACAACCCTAGTGGAGGGTTGAACGAACAGCTGCATTGTGGCCTCCACCATTCAGTGCAGTTCAGTTCAGTTAAACAACTGTGATCCTGGCACCAAATTGCGGTGGATCCAGTTGCCACGACGCACATCGCCAGAATAACAATAAATAAGAACGGTAGGAAACTGAGATTGAATGCAAATTGAAATTGAAGCAAATGGAATAAAGCGCAAACTGCATTAAACTAATCACGATGTAATGAAAATTAACAGGTAGTTGCAAGAACGCCACTGACTGCATGACTGCGCAGTGTGCGTTAAAGTCTCAAATCATTGGTGCAGACGATGTCGGTGCCCCCATCCATGTAGACGGCACGCACCGGTCTGACCAAGTCTCTCAGTCCATTTCTTCAAGCTTTATACCATGTCATGTACTGGCCACCTCGAGCTTCCGCCCAGCTTGGCGCAGTCACAGCACGTAATGCACACCGAGAAAGCCAATCAACGAGCATAGGGATGATAGTACCCAAGAAATGTAGACGGTTAAGCTTCAGCAACATTTGAGTGAGTCCCCAGAAAGCTTCTTGCCAAGAACCAAGTTGCGGACCTGGCGTTCCTACCAGACGTAAGCAATGCTCCGCAACCGTCTTTCAGGGCGAGCGTGTTGTCGTGCCGGCAGTACAAGTGGCGAGGTTGAGCTGAGCCGCCTCGAGATTCCATAATACGACTTATGAACTCATCCTCCATTCCAGTGGTGCTGATTTAGTTACTCAGGAAGTTAAATTCTTGGGCAAATTCAGGTTAATCATGACTAATGATCAGCGAAGGGGTTGATCCTTGAGGATCTTGGAGAAGAGCTTCGCATTTCAACAGGGTCAAACACAGTCTGAAACGGTCGACAGCTGGTGATAACTTGCCAAGTGCTGCTTGTTAGGTTGGCAAGCTCTCACAAATTAGAGCAACATCGTCGTCATACTCCGTCAAGTAGTAGGCCACATGGAAGCAGCTCCACAACTTCCAGGGTTTGCATTCTCTTTTTACCTTTGTAGAACCTCTTGATGATTAATATACCAAGCGACACGACTAAATCTACTTTTGTTAGATTTCAGCTTCGATGTCAGCACTTCGGAATGTAAAACTCGTTATACCATGCCACAGCTAACCGTCTTTGTGCAGCAGGAAGAGAAACTTCAACGTCTGTGACTAGGGATGCAAACTAGCTATGAGATATGTGCAGTTTCATGTATGTAAGTGTTAAATGATTTTTCTTATTTGGAGATGTTCGAAATCTCGGAAGCTCGCGTTCGATTTTTCACCTAATTGGGACGCTGCTCTCTGAGTATTTACATTATCTTTAAACGCAACCCTAACTTGTGATTGCGATGCGCTTTACCTCCAGCGGCTCATGGGGAACGTACATAGGAGTGTCGATGTAGGTGAGATAAACAAGATGATCAGAGTATGATATCCTTCGGCTGATTTTGACAACGTAGTAGGCGTTTTTGAGACCTCTCCTTCTTCAGTAATGACACGAATTTCAGTGGTTAGAATAATGCTATTACTTATCGCATGTTTGGAGCAAACGTTTTGTTGCAGCAGTTCGCTTTTCTCTCTTTCTAAATTGCCCCTGTTTTTTGTAGTCTTCAGCTGTACAATGGTGTTCCTAACCTGCGTATTTTGGCATGTGGAGGCGATGGAACTGTCAGCTGGGTGCTTTCAACCATCGAAGAACTGAACATGGCACCTGCTCCACCAGTAGCCGTACTCCCTCTCGGCACTGGGAATGACCTCTCACGCACATTGGGCTGGGGTTCGGTGAGTCCATTGCTAAATTCGTTTGGTAAATTAGCTCCGTATCACCCAGGGGCCGATATGCGAAACGCACTGCACACCTAATGATATAAATATAGTTGCTTTATATGCCTGTATACGTTAGCGACTTCAAGGAACCGTTGTTCCCACATTCTCACCCGGTATTAACCCATGGTTGTGCATCGACCTCACCTTGTTGAATTTAAACATAATTCACTAAAGTTCTGCATTTCTCTTAACATCACTTAAGTGGCAGCGCTCCATTATGTTAAAATACTGGGTTGTGGTTTTCCTCCTACGCTCTCTGTAAATTTGTTTCTAACGGTGGAACACATTCCCCACTGGGAGGTATGTGATAAATAATCTGAACCCTGACAGAGATTGAGAATTCCTTAGGACTCATGTTATACCTCGGTTTGCACCATCCGCTGCAATTTATTTCCAGCCAAATCGTCAATTGGCCAGATAACCAAGGCCGACTGCCCACCAATGCAATCGTATGCCTGCGCGCAAAGCACTCAGCATCGGGTGCTGGAACGTGCGCACACTACTGGACCGGAACTCGAGTGAGCGACCCGAGTGACGCACTGCACTGGTCGCGATGAAACTGGCCCGCTACCACATCGATATTGCGGCGCTCAGTGAAACTCGGCTCGCTGAGCAAGGTAAGTTGCATGAAGCTGGTGCTGGCTACACATTCTACTGGGTGGGCAACGCCGCCTCAGCACCACGTGATCATGGGGTCGGATTTATAATATCCGATCGCATTCATGGCCAGTTCGTGACTGAACCAACAGGCATCAGCCCGCAACTGATCACTGTTAGCCTAGGACTCGGAAGAGGTAAGTTTGCCACTTTTATACGCACGCACGGTCCGACCATGTGTTATCAAGATGGCACGGGTGATCAGTTCTACACTGAGCTATCCTCCGTGATACGGTCTGTGCCGAGGAGCGACCGACTAAGTCTGCTGGGTGATTTCAACGCACGTGTTGGGCGTGATGCATCGGTGTGGACAGATGTTATCGGTTCGCATGGCATTGATTCAGCGAAAGCGAACGGTGACAGGCTGCTCTCACTGTGTGCCACTCACGGCCTGACGATCACGAACACTCGATTTGCACTGAGTGCGAGTGATATAGCAACTTGGACGCACTCACGGATTGGTCACGCTCACCTGCTCGACTATGTCATCGTACGTCAGCGTGATATGCGTGAAGTGCGCATGACTCGTGTACTGCATGGAGCTGAGTGTGGCACTGATCACAAATTAGTGCGCACCTAACTGTACATATATTTGCGTAAATCGATGCATTGCACTCCCGCCGTGAATCGGCGTAAATTTAACATTTCCACCCACGGTACTGTGGCGAAACGTACTGAGCTGGAGAAGGCGATGGCTGCTCACCTGTGTGATGTGGACTGTATAGCCACAGTGGGCGACCTGTGGCACCACATTCGCGACCAGTTGACAGCTGCTGCCGAGGAGACGATCGGGCGCGCAAACTTTAAGCGACCTGATTGGTTTGATGACAACAATGCGACGATTGACGCATTGGTGTCAGAGAACAATGCAGCATTTGCTGCACATGTGGCGGACCCGAGTGACTTGGGGAAGAGTAGTCAGTTTCGTAAACTTCGACGGCGACTGACCCGAGAGCTCCGTCGCAGCAGAAAGCCATGGTGGAGTGAGAAGGCGAAGCAGATGGAATGCTACGCCGAAAGTCGCCAACATAAGGAATTCTTTGACTCCTTGAAGGCGATGTATAGACCGAGATTGGAGCCGATGAGGACGCTGATCGATGGTAGTTCAGGCGGTATCTGCACACAGACGGCAGACATAATGCAGGTCTGGCGGAAACACTTTGACTGTCTCTTGAACAACCGTTCAGATAGACTGACCTACAATGAACGGCCTCAAGCAGCGCGATTTGAAGAAGAGTCTGGCGAATAGGACGACACTCGGTAAGAAGCAGAGAGCACTTGCTCAGCTGCGAAACGGCAAATGTGCCGGAATCCTGCCTGAAGTATTGAAACACGGTGGACCCGTGTTGTTGACTGCACTGCACCACTTGGTGCAACGCGTGTGAATTGAGGAGGAGGTGCCTCCTGAGCTGAAGGATGCCCTTGTGTTACCACTGTACAAGGGTAATAATAATAAAAATAATAATGCGTCAGTCGTACACCTTAAGGGCGTTTCGCTGCCGCGCGACCACCACCTGTCGCGCGCCGACTGAGTATACCGCTTGGACGCCCACCCCTACGCAGATTCGAACCGGTGATCTTATGTTTGCAAACAAAACGCGCAGACCACTGGGCCACCGGCCGACCCTGTACAAGGGTAAAGCGAGCAAACAATGTTGCACTTATTATCGAGGCATCAACGTGTTGAGTTGTGTGAGCAAGGTGATTGCCCGAATCCTGCTCCATCGCCTCGTGAGTCAGGTTGTGGAACCTAACGTGGCGGAAGAGCAATGTGGATTCCGTTCGGATCGCAGCACTATAGATATGGTATTTGCGGCTCGTCAGTTGCAAGAGAAGTGTAGAGAACGACACCAGCCATTGTACTCGCTTTTTGTTGATTTCACCAAGGCATTTGATACGGTGAACCGCGAGGCATTGTGGCTGGTGTTGGGTAAGTTTGGTTGCCCGCGTAAGTTTGTAAGTTTAATTGAATGTCTGCACAGTGGTATGCGAGCGAGGGTGCAGCTGAGTGGAGAGATCTCGGATGACTTTGCAGTTGTCTCTGGTGTGAAGCAAGGCTGTGTCTTAGCTCATGCCCTGTTTAATATATATCTTCATGCAATGTTGTCTTGTGCTTTTGATGCCGCTTGTGCTTACGGTGTTCGTGTGGAGCACCGTATTGATGGTGGTTTGCTGAACATCCGTCGTTTCGGTGCGAGAACTCTAGTCTGTGAGACAACTATCCGTATGTTGCTGTTCGCTGACGACTGTGCGTTGTTTTCACACAGCATGGATGAGTTGCGGCACATGACTAGTGCTCTGGCTTCGACAGCGACCAAATTCGGGCTCACCATCAACACAAGCAAAACTGACCGTCTCTTTCAGCCTTCACCGGAAGTGTAATCTTTAATATTGCCGAAAATCAGCATTGGTGTTGAGGTATTGGAAACCACTTCCCGCTTCTGCTACCTTGGGAGAGTGATGTCGACTGATCAGCAGCTACACAGTGAGTTGCGTATCCGCGTGTCGAAGGCGGCAGCGGCATTCGGGACGCTTGAATACCGGGTGTGGAACAACCATCAGCTTAGCATTGGCACGAAGCTGATGGTGTACAAATCCATGGTGCTGTCCGTTCTTCTATACGGCGGTGAAACGTAGACGATGTACCGGCAGGATGTGCGATATCTCGAGCAGTTCCATCAGCAGTGTCTGCGACGGATTTTGCGGATCGGCTGGGGCGACAGAGTTGCAGACACGGAAGTTTTGCGCCGGAGTGGGATGTATGCAGTGGACGGCATACTTTTGCTGAGACACCGGAGATGGCTCGGTCATGTGAGCCGTATGGATTCAACGCGGATACCGAAACAACTCTTATACGGTCAACTGAGTATTGGAAAGCGGCACGTGGGGAAACCAAAGTTACGTTACTAGGACATGATTAAAATGAGCCTCACACCTTTTAATCTTGATTGCAGATCATGGGAATCGAAGGCGGTTGATCGTGGTGCATGGCGCGATCTAAGCACGAAGGCAGTTGCTGAAGTGCGGGAGAAAACCCTCATGCATACAGAGGAGAAGCGGCAAGTACGGAAGCGGCAAGCACCATTGAATTGTACTCCATCGACATCGAGCGCATGATGCTGTAGAACATGCGGTCGCGAGTGCCATAGTCAGGCAGGCCTAGTGAGCCATGAGCGAGGCCACTCGGGACCACTGCCGAAGCGACGACGGGCACTGCAGAGAATGTAGGCAGAACTGGCGCAGCGTTTGTAGGTACGCTGCATTCGATTTACTAACCGCATGCTTGAATGCTAAGTCTCTTTATTTCAGGTGGTGGGTTTTCGGTTCTGTCCTAATGCCTTTCTTTCTCATATAAATGTCTAGTGTGCCTTGAGCTAGGCCCTTTGGGGCCACTACAGAAGCGACGGCGGGTCCTGCAGAGAATTACGGGGAGGCGGCGCAGCCTTTGTAGGCACGCTGAATTCGATTTACTAACCGCGTACTTGCATGCTAAGTCTCTTTATTTCAGGTGGTGGGTTTACAGTTTTTACCTTAATGCTTTTCTTTCTCAGATAAATATCTCCCTGTACTCTATTCCATTAACTTGCACACATCGCCTAAGCCAATCGTATTCGATTTCCATAACATTTTTATGTTCGTGGCATTCCGTGAACTATACTTCCTGACCTCGTGCACTTAGCTTGGATTTGTTTGTAAACAACTTATTACATATGCTATTTAATTAAGGTTTATATCACCGTTTCCTTATGCATTAATCGAGTTTTTCTCTTTTGCTTTCTTTCTCTCTCTCTCTCTCAAGCGTTTGGCTGTTGTTTGATATCCCCGGTGTGGCTGCGCTTGATGTGCATGTTGACAAGGTGCCTACCTGTCTATTACCCACTACCTCGTCCATACTGGCTCCAGGCGACAGTTGGTCGTTGCTGGAGGGGACGGGGTACACGGTCCTTGTGGCCGTGTTAGGATCAAAGAGTGGTTCCATGCAGTCAGTGTGGAGCGGACTACGGTTCAGCCACCGCCTTGTGTGCGCTTGATTCCCAAATACAGTGTGCTTGTGTTTGCCTGTGAAGGAGTGTGGGCCGGCTCCGTTGATGAAACGTGACTCCCATCCGCATGCCTCCCGGTCTTATTCCTTCGGGTTTACACTGGATATGGGGTGTGTGGATGGAGCTGTGGGTGGTGCAGCGCAAGCCACCTATGGTCCCTCTGTAGGCGCAGGCGTCCTGTGGCTGGTCACAGTGACAGGCAAATCCGAAACCGGATGCTGCCAACCATCCTACCAGCTTGAGTTTTATTTGCGG